ATCTGCCTGCCTCTGCCTCCCAAGTGCTGGGATTAAAGGCATGTGCCACCACATCCAGCTGAGACCCTGTCTTAAAAATAAAACAAAACAAATAAATAGATAATAAAAAATGTGAAAGGTATTAGATCAAAAGAAAGTCAAATCTTCCCTATTGCAACAGCTTCTAAAATTTTTGACAGTTATAAAGTACATATTTAATGTTTATACAGTATTATAATGTTTAAATGTTAATTTATTAAAATATGTCTAACAAGTACTCTCTGGGATTAGACCAGTTGGGCAGTCTCCAGAGACCCCTCGTGGTGTGTTACCTTGTGGATGAGAAGCTATTTTATCACTTAATAAGCCTGTTCCTTCTGCAGAACTAAAATAGTAACAATGTTCACTTGATAGGCTTGTAGTGTGTACTAACAGGTAATGCTTGTAAAACACTGTGCTCAAGGACAGACATACCATAGGTACTCAATAAATGTCCATTAATATTGTCTAGGACCTTATTGCTCGATTTGTGTCCTTGATTCCTTTCATGACTGAAACACTCGCTGAAAATGATGGTTCTGACATATGGATGACATCAGAGGTAATAAATTACATTTCATAGTTAAAATGTATAGTATTTTTTACTTGTTTTTCTTTTAAAAATAGTATGTCTAGTGCCGTACTTTGCCTTGTGAAATGTGAAAGTATTTGATAATTTTATATACAATTTTCATCTCCCCAATACCTTACAGAAATAATTTATTATGATGAATTTTTTTAATAATTCAAAGTAATACCTCCTGCATATTTTTATTCAGTGGGAGTTTCAGCAGTACAGTATGACATCCTCCAGAGAGCAATGTGGCCAGACTGATATATAGAACAAGCCTATCATGCCCCAAAAGCTTTCCCAGTCTCCCCTCCTCCACATGAAGAGCACTTATAGCTGGGCTCTTCCTTAGCACCAAATTAAGGCTCTTGGCAGGCAGACTGCCAAATAAAATATAGGGTCCATGCAATATTTAGGACAAACTTGTAATTATCTGATATTAACTGGGGAATCATGTATGTTTTTTCCAAACCTGCAAACCACAGTTTTAGCATTTCTTCCATTCCACCTTAGCTTCCATTTAGTTGTTTTTAAACTGACCCCCATATTCATACTATTATATACCTATATCCCAATTATAATCTCCTTGAAGCAGAGGGCATTTATTTATTTCTTCTTATATTTAAATTGAACAAGATCACACATTTTCAACTAGAAAATACAAATATAATAAGAACCTAAGAGACAGACACTTTCACTAGGAACTGATAGTTCTGGCTGGCACTTACCTAGAATGTTTTAAGGGGTAATTTGAGCTAAAATGGACTTAAGGCGCATGGAGTTAACTTCATAGGTTGACTTTCCTGCCTTCCACTGAGTAGACTTAGGAGGACATAAACATATTATCTTGGTTCAGGATCCGACAATTCAAACTTGGTAGAAATCAGAATGGTGTTATTTGGTGTAGACTTTCCTGAGACCCTTCTAATTAAAACTGTTCGAGGGTATTATGATACTGACAATTTTTTTTTTTGTCTTTTTGAGACAGGGTCTCCCTGTAGCCCCAGCTGGCCTGGAATTTGCTGTGTAGACCAGGCTGGCCTTGAACTCACAGACATCCACCTGCCTCTGCCTCTTGAGTGCTGGGATTAAAGGCACATGCCACCATGCCCAGCTTGATACTGCCAAAGTTTGAAAGAAGCTAAGCTAAAAACAATCATTCAGGCATACTAGTACCCTTGCGCATCCCCTCCCAAACACAAACAGTATGTGTGACTAAGATATTACTACATGTTTGGAATCCCTCTTGACTGATGTCTTCCCACTGATAAATTCCTTGGGTACCAGGTGACCATATACTCAGGACAAGAGTTATTTTCTCCCACCTAACATACAGTCTTTGGAATCAAACCTGGGTTCAAATATTAATTCAATGACTTAATAGCTGTATGACCCTTGACAAGTTATCTAACCTTACCGGTCCTCAATTTCCTTATTTTTGTCATACAGGGGTTTTCGGGATTTGTGGTGTGTGTGTGTGTGTGTGTGTGTGTGTGTGTGTGTGTGTGTGTGTGTGTGTCTTTTTGAGACAGGGTCTCCCTGTAGCCCAAGCTGGCTTAGAACTCACTATGTAGACCAGACTGGGCTTGAACTCACAGAGATCTGCCTGCCTCCGCCTCCCAAATGCTGGGATTAAAGGTGTGTACCACCATGCCCAGCTCCATACAGGGGTTTTAGAAGGACTAAATGAGATAGCATATGTAAAGCATTTGGACTCAGGAAAGTTTCATTACCTCCTGTGATCCTTTTCCTCCATTTCTTTGGAAATTTTGTCAGGGGAGCCTTTTTGGCTCAATGAAACGCACATTATGCTTTAGCTCTCCTCTTCACACTGGTCTTTCAGAGAGGCCTCTTCACCATCTTTCCTGGCCCCATTGTATAGTCTCATTCAGCCAGCACACACCAGTGGGGCCCTATCTGTTGCTGTACTTCCATGAGATGCTTCCATACTGATCAGTAAATAATTGATGCCAATTAAGAGCATCAGTTATGGCAAGAGCAAGCGAGGCCAGCCTGGACTACATAGTGAGTTCCAGGCCAGTTGGGGCAACAGGGAGACCCTGCCTCAAAAAAATGTATTTCCCTGCTTGCTCAGGGCAATACAATATTTGTCCTAAACAAAAAAAAGTCTCATTTTGGATATAAACTTGGCCACTCTATATATCCATATTAATCGTCCCATTATAAAAGTACCCTGGTGTTCCAAATTAACATTCTCTTATTATGCCTTAGCAAATCCAGAGCTTTCTGTTTTGTTTTCATATTGGCAACCTGATAAGTATGCTCAGCCCTGCATGGAGTGTGAGGCTCAACTGTGCTGCTTGATTTTCTCAACTTTCTCTTTCCTTCTCCTTCCCCTCCTCCTCCTCTTCCTCGTCTTCCACCTTTTAACTATATTTTTATTATTCCGCTGCTTTTGCTCTGCCTTAGTGCTGCATCAACCTGGCCATTGGAAATAAGGAAGAGCATGCCATTCTTCTCTGTAATTTCTTTCTGTATTTTGGAAAGAAGGCTTTGGTGCTCTTGGGAACCTCAGTATTGGAAGTAAGTGCTGAAATAGTGGAAACAACGCTAAAACAGAAAAAAGATGCATGCATGAATTTCAAGAGCAAACAGGACTTGAGAGGATTATTGACGTTGGTTCATCAAAATTTCTGCAATGTAAAGAATAACTTTTATTTTTCTCCTTTGTAAAATAGTACTAAAAATAGTGCTTCTTGACAGGGCTGCTGGGAATATTAAATTACCTGGTACAACAACAGCAGTTGTTTATGACAAATGTGTGATAAGTGAGGCAGGAGTTATGAAACATTAGTTAACAATGAAGTTGTGGCTGTTATCATCCACCACCATCATTCTGGGTTTTTTGTTGTTTGTTTGTTTGGTTGGTTGGTTTTATTGTTGTTGGTGGTGTTGTTGTTTTAACTTTTACAGAAACTTTATTGAGAATTTCATACATGCATATAAGGTGTTTTGGTCAAATCCATGCCCACTCCGTCCCTTCCAACACCTCCTATATCTCCCATATCTCCCCATCACTTTTTTTCTTTTTCTTTCTTTTTTTCTTCTTTCATTTATTTATTTTTATGGGGCTTTTGGCTACTCTAATGTTGTTGGTTTTTTTTTTTTTTGAGACAGGGTCTCTCTGTAGCCGCAGCTATGTAGACCAGGCTGGCCTGGAACTCACAGAGATCTGCCTGCCTCTGCCTTCCAACATTCTGGGTTTCTAATGTCATATTTAAGACCTTGGACAAACACTTCTCCTCGTGGTGTCTTTTTTGGGCTTTAACCTTACAAGAATGGGTCAGAAATATATCCTTACTAATAGAACATTTACAACTTCATTTATATACTTCCTAACACTGCCTCCAAAATGCTATCTTTTGGATTGTTTATAGCCCTACATGACTGTCTTGATAAATGACGGAATTTTCCATCCTGCCTTATGTTTTTTTTCCACAATCACCCATTTTCCTATATTCCTGTGGCATAGCTTATTTGTCAGTTTGTTCATGAAAAGCCTATGGTTAAACACCCCCATTTGATAACGGCTATAGTTTTAAGTACCACTAGGTGGCAGTAAAGATTCAGCAAGAGTTGCATAAATGCATTTGTACCTGTGAACAAACCGGCAGGAGGTAGGATTCAACCTCGGTTTTGTGGTTGAGGTGAAGAAGCCTTCTCTTTATAATGGAGAAGACAAGCACATCAAAAAAGAACAAGCGCTTTGGGGCTAGCGATGTAAGGGCATCAGGCTACACAGTGTAGTGCTGTGTTTGGGACAAGGGTTTGAAACCCAGAAACTTTTCTTAGTTAACTGGTCTCAGCTTTGTTTGCTTTTCTGCGTCTGCTGTCTCCTCACAAAATGCCACTTACTGATAACCTATATGAGACCCTTACCCTCTTATTCTTCATTTAAAGATGGCTATTGGGGCTGGAGAGATGGCACAGTAGTTAAGAATGCTGGCTGCTCTTGCAGAGGACCCATGTTCAATTCCCACACCCTCAAGGTGGCTAACAACTATCCTTAAGCCAGTTCTAGGGGAATCCAACACGCTCTTCTAACCTCCATAGGCATTGCACAACACAAATGCACTTACACATATGCAGACAATATGCGTGTACAAATAAAAATAATAAATTAAAAAAATTTAAAGATGACTATCATAAACAATCCTACCTCACAGAATTGAGGGTGAGTTTAAATGAGAAAATTATGTGCACCACCACACCCTTAATCTTAGCAGAGGCAGATGGATCTCTGAGGTGGAGGCCAGCCTGGTCTACCCAGCAAGTTCCAGGTCAGCTGGGGCCACAGGGAGACCCTGAATCAAAAAACAGAACAAACAACAACAAAAAGAGGCTGTTGAGATGGCTCAGATGGTTAAGAGCACCGGCTGCTCTTGCAGAGGACCCAGCATCTACATGGTGGCTAACAACTGTATCTCCAGTTCCAGGGGATCCAAGGCCCTTGTCTAATCTCCTCAAGCATATACACCTATATACATGAAGGCAAATCACTCATACACTCATACAAACATAAATAAATAACTTTTTTAAAAGAAAAGGGGAAAATAAGTGTGAATTCTTAGCATAAATAATAAATGTTGGGACTGGAGAGATGGCTCAACAGTTAAGAGCACTGACTGCTCTTGCAGAGGCCCCAAGTTCAATTCCCAGCATCCATGTGGCAGCTAATAGCCATCTGTTACTCCAGTTCCAAAAGAATCCAGTACCCTCTTCTGACCTCCACAGGTATTGCACAGCACAGGTGCATTTACATACATGCAGGCAATATACTCATAACTATAAAATAAAAATATAAAATATTTTTAAAATAATAATAAATGTTAAATATCACTATTATTAGTTATTTGAATTGTTTATTCTTTGCTATAGTCTCACACTATAAAAGATATATGTAGAACAAAATAATAATGACTTTAAATATTTTAGACTATTATTGGAGAGGCACGACACCATAGTGGATACATGGAAGTCAGAGGAAAACGACTGAGTGTGTCCTGCCCTTACATCTTTATGCAGATTCTGGGGTCAGGCCATCAGACTTTCACCAGCTGAGCCACCTCTCTGACCCCATAACTATTTCTTCTTCCTTTCTTTTAAAAATATTATTATTATTATTATGGTGATGATGATGATGATGATGATGATGTGTGGGGTGGGGGTATGCCAAGGGACACATATGGAGGCCAGAGGACAACTTTGTGAGTTTCCTTCCACCTTTACACGAGTTCCAGGGATCGAACTCTAGTTTCCAGATTGTACTGCAGTGTTACTACCCACTGAACCGTCTCACCATCCCCTACTTATTCCGTAGGCTCCCTTCCTGTATCTTTTAGCTTCTAATACCAAATCTTGCCCTCAAATTTAATTTAGTGGATTTTAAACTTGTTTAATGTTTCTCTATGAACCTTAAGTCCAGTTTCTTTTCCCTAACTCTGGCTTGGTGTTCAGTCTCCAAGTATATTCTAACCAAAGTGGGTTCCCATAGCACTTTTGTGTGAATTAGACACAAGTGACCCTATCTCAAAACACTTTAGGACTGCCTGTGAGGAAGTCATCGTAATATACTGATTTTGCTAGAATAATATATTGTGCCATCAGAGCACTCCACTAACCCTCTGGTGAATGATCTGGGTCTCGGTTCTCTCAACAGAGTCCTCATGCTAATCTCGCTCTGAGGATTTCTGCACTATTCACGGTTTTTTCGTTTTATTTTGTTTTGCTGCTGCTGTTGTTTTCCTTTTCAAAAATATTGAGGTTCTGAAGGAAACTTTTAAAGCCAGAATACACTATAATTTCCACTTATAAAGGTAATCAAATACACCAGACATGACTTTAAATCTTTTTCCTTATGCAGGGGCATGTAGCTTACGTATTAACTCAAGAAACTGGTGAATGTTTACTTTGGAATCCTTCAACTGGACAATGTCATAAGCAGTTTGATCCTTTTTGTCCCTTACAAAGTGTGGATTGTTTGTTCAATGATAGGAACGTAAGTATATGAAGGAAAATATTTGGAATCATTTCTGCAAGTCACCCTGAGTACACATTAGAATCACCTGAGATCCTTGAAGACGTACATACTCCACAGTCCCTGGGGTCAGCCCATCTGTATCCTAAAGCTCCCAGGCACGGCTGCAGAGCCCCCAAGGATGAGAACTACGGAGCTAGTCCTGCTACCGCAGAACCTTGGAACACAATCTTCTCTCAGACTTGGCTTCTGCCTCTTTGTTGAATACAAATCTGTAACATTTTTCCAGTTATGGTTCTTTTTTCTTGTGGGCTTACATTAACCTTTTGTTAATATTTTCATAGGTCTGGTTTAATATTGAACAAAATAATACACCAATGGCTATACATTTTGACTATTCAAAAGAAAGTTTCTGGAAACAGTTGTTTCCAAAAAATTTTCAGGGAGCAAAAGCCAAAAGCATACAGGTAAATATGTTTTTCAAGTATGTCTGTGTGAGAGTTACTATCATTTCGAACTTTTCCTATTTGTGACAGCTCCTATTATATTTTCTAGTTGATTGTTTATTGAATTACTTGGCAGTGTTCACCAAAAATCGGTCTCCACCATGCAGCCTATGTTTGGGCTTCTTTCGCCCTTTCCTCTAGTTGCAGGAAAAATTAGAGAAAAAAAAGTCATCTCATATGCAATTGAAATTTCATAGTCTAATAGTCTAAATTTTTTTTCATCATAAAAAAGAGCATATAATGTTCAAGATGGTGTAGTAAGTTTTTACTTTGGCCTGGCCCTTTTGCTCCACATTCTTGTGATGATCAAGTATAAAAATTGATAGACAAAAATGCTCATGTGGAGCTCTCCTAAGACGGAGCTCTCCTACTCCTTACTTTTGAAGTAAGATGGGGGGGGGCGTCTAGGGAGCTCTGTAGACTCACTGCTTGGGCTCAGGAGCCAGGAGACCAGGAATGGCCTGGTATCTAAATGGCTTGGCCAGTTAATCTGTGGTGTGCTCAGTAGCACTTCTGGACTGAGGGCCATGATATGGCAGAGTGAAGGTAGTACAAAGTCCACAAACTAAGAGCATGTGCCAAGAGAGAAAGGGGGAAAAAAGTGAGGAGGAAAGAGAAAAAAACAGGAAAATAGGCAAAGACAATTTATAGAAATTGAAATTCAAATCTTCAACCTCATTCATAATCAGTTTAAAACAAGAAAGCACTATCAGCTGGGTGTGGTGGTGCACACCTTTAATCCCAGCACTTGGGAGGCAGAGGCAGGCAGAGGGTTCAAGGTCAGCCTGGTCTATGTAGGGATTTCCAGGCTAGCTGGGGCTGCAGGGAGACCTTGTCTCAAAAAAAGGAAAAAAGAAAGGAAGGAAGGAAGGAAGGAAGGAAGGAAGGAAGGAAGGAAGGAAGGAAGGAAGGAAAGAAGGGAAAGAGGGAGGGAGGGAGGGAAGAAAGCACTAAGATGCATAAATTTGATGAAAAAAATCTGTAGCCGTATCTGTTTTAACAAAAAGGCAGAGAAATGGTGGGTATGTAAATTGCTAAGAATACTTGAGAAAGCAACGTGCTGATAAAGTTGAACACGCTGAAATGTTGATCCAGCAATTCAAATGTCCAGGTGCGTACTCTGGAGGAACACAAAGGGGAAAGCCAGTGCTCAGTAGAGAACTGCTTGAAACAGCAAGAAATTAGAAACAGTGTGACAACTGGAAAATTGGCTCATGAGTTGTGAAATACTCTACAATGAACCCTTCTATCCAGCAGTGAAAAATATATGAACCAATTTGCAATACTTCTCCATTCAAGGATACATTACCTAAGAATCTCTATGGGTGAACCCACATATTAGCAGATTTTCAAGCTCCCCAGTTGATTTTAGTCTTCAGCCAAAGTTGAGAACCACTGAGCTGGAGCTACGCATACCATTAAGAATGAATATAAACAGTGCAATGTTAGGAAAAATAAAGAGGATGAGAAATAATATGTATAATACAAAGTCACTTGAGTTTGAAAACTATATTCTGTATCCATAGAATTGTATATATGTATACACATTATATCATGTAATAGACACGTGAAGGAATGACAAATAGCAAATTCCAGTTAGAAGTTACCTTCAGAAAGAGAGAGGAGAAAAAAGCTCCATCAGAGAGCGGTATACATGACATTAAACACAGAGAACACACACAGAGAGCTGTCTTATTTCTTTTCTAAAATCAAAACTAAGGGCTGGTGTTGTAGCTCAGAGGTAAACAATTTGCCTAGTATACATGAAGCTCTGGGTTCAAACCCCTGTACCGCAAATTGAAAAAGAAATAAAAGATAAATAAATAAATAATAACTAAAGAAAATATGGAAGAATGCAATGATTGACTACAGTCGAGTGGTCAGTATGTTGGGTGGGTGTTCATTATATCATTCTCTGTGTGTGACCGTGAATTCAAGGTAATTCACACTATCAAAAAAATAAAAATAAAAAACCCACATAGTTATAGGGGAGAAAGTCAAGAGTACCAAGAAATGTAGAGTGCAGAGGTTTTTCTTCCCTTTAAAGTCTTTTTCTGCCCTCTAAGAAATAACTACTGTGGCCCAGCAGTTTCTTGTGCATTCTTTTAAACATGCTCCATGCATATCAAGTGTGTATTTTTATATTTCCTGTTTGAAATGTCATTTCAAAGAAGGGGAAATATGCTTATCTTTCCTGAGCAAACCACACATACACCCTCCACGGTCTATGTTTTCTTTTCCTGTCCCAGAGCCTAGGCTGAAGCACTGCTGCCTCCTAGGGAGAGAATAATCTATTTAGAGATGAAGTTTTTGCCTATCTATTTCTTGTTCAATCAGGTGATACTTATTGATTTCTTACTATGAGCTGGTATTATGTTAGGTGTGTAGATACCACAAGGTAGAAGACACATCTCGTTCTTTGACCTATGTTCTTGAAGAGGAAATGAAGAAACACGCACTCGCGGTAGGGAGTGATGGGTGCTGTTATAGAAGGAAGCCCTGAATGAGTTTTGGGAGCTCACAGCAGCAGCAGGAGGGGAGTTGCAGGGGCTCCAGGGAAAAGCCTTAACAAGTTAAGTGAGGAATGGTGAGCTGGCTCCCTGCAAGTCAGGGAAAAGAATGGCCTGGCAGGGGGTGGGAACAGCTGGCAGGAAGACTGGCAGTTACCAAGAAATGTATTTCCAGGAGCTTCCAGAGCAGCATGGCTGCTGCTACTGAATGAGCAGAGATGAGCTGAGGGACCTGAGCCTTTATCTTCAGGGCAGTCAGAAACCAATGGTCACTAAGGACCAAATGTGTGTTCAAAAGCCTTTCTGCCTGAGGGCGGACACTAAACCTTCTGCCAAGTTGAATTTATAAATAGAAAATCTACAACTGTGTTTGACTCCAATCTCTGTTGGTTTTTCATGATGCTGGGGATTGAACCCAGGGCCTTGTGGATGCAAGGCAAACTACCACTGAGCTACATCTCCTGCCCTCGGTTGGTTTCTTTCCTGGGTAAAGGCATTCAATCACTTGCCTTACACATCCATCCAAGAATGAACACTATCTACTGCACATGATCAAGACCACAAGTTTCAGTGTACATGAACACGTGGTCTTCAGAGCTGGGACTGTTATAGGAAACCTTGAAGTTTTGAGGAACATGAGTTTGGAGAGATGGGACTTTCCTAGAATCAGAAAGTCAACCAAAGCTCTATAAATTTGCCAAATCAACATACCCAGGCCTCATTTTCAGATCCGAAGGGGCTCACTAATCCACAGGAATTGATGCCCTGTGGGTAGACAATGGAGGCCCAGTAGGGAATCCAGTCTACCTACTCTCTCTGGGATAGCTGCTGGCCCCCGCAAGGTGACCCTGGAGTTCAGACTTCTGTCTCATTCTGTGCTCTGCCATGTTCCATAGTAGGCAAAGTGCCTGGGCCTGAAACTGTTCTCTACTGTAGTGCCTCTCCATTTATAGCAAGTGCCAGAATCACCTGGGGGAGCTTGTTAAAGCATATATTACTGGGCTTCACCCCAGTTTCAGATTCAGTGGGCCTGAGAGCAGGGCCAAGAACTTGCGTTTTTAACAAGTTTATATGTCTGAGGTTGCTGTTCCAGGGGACACAGTTTGGGAACCTAGAGACCTATCAAGTGTTACTTTGTGCACTTCTTTCATTCCACTCAAAGGGAGGATGTGTGGGGATCAGTAGTCCCTATCCCTACAACTGTCTTTATTTCTCAATTCAGTGATAGCCAGAGTAGAAACTGTCTAAAACTAACCCCTCACTAGTCCTAGTCCTTGTGAGCCTCACAAGGGAGGCAGGGATGAGTAAGGCAGGTCTCCCCACCACAGTAAACAGCTCAGGACAAGGAATACAAGGGAACATGAGGAACATTGCTCCCTGCTGTTAGCTAAAGGTGTGGGGCACAGCAAAAGCTTGTGGATGAAGGTGAAAGACATTCTTTATGAACTCAAATGCACACGCACAAGCACAAGGAATTGGTTCTTGCCAGCTATAAAAATATATATACTCAGAGAAGGACGATTATAAACCATGTCAGAAGAGGAATGACATTAACAATATTACTTGATGTTTATTGAACATTCCATATATGTCAGGGGATTTATTCATATTGTGTTATTTTAAAATCTTCATAAGATCCCCAAAGCAGCAGGCACAAGTCACAAGGGCTTTTTTTTGTTTGTTTGTTTGTTTGGTTGGTTTTTTTTTTCGGTCTTTTCGAGACAGGGTCTTCCTGCAGCCCCAGCTGTCCTGGAACTCACTATGTAGACCAGGTTGGCCTCACAGAGATCCATCTGCCTCTGCCTCCTGAGTGCTGAGACCTAAAGGCATGTGCCACCATGCCCAGCCAAGCTCAAGTATTGTTACTAGTCTAAAGATTAACAGAGAATTAAAACAGTTATATTAAGTAACTTTGCCAAAGTCACTATAAGTGGAAGACAGCAGTATAGCTATCATACATTATTTAGTGGCATCAATAAGAATGTCAAATACTTGTTTGTAAATCCTCCCTCTATCCCGTGCTGAAATGAAGTAGTGTGGAAGTCAAAGGAAATGTTGTGGTCTTTGTTTTACTTAAGAGATTGTTCTTACTATGAGAGACTGGTTTTAGTACCACCTTCCCACCCCCAGAACTTCAGGGGTGACTGGGATGTAAAGATGGTCTCTAGAATTTTTCCTAACTTTCAGTTGTTTACATTTCAGCCTGAAGAAATAATTTATTCTGATACTAATAAAAGCATGGTAGAAGATCTAAAGAACAGGTACAATGTCCTCTCACCAGTGTCTCGTTCCTGTACCTTCTAGTCCCAGCCTTTCAAAATACCTATTAGATTCAGCAACAGAAGCATGAAAAGGGAGATTATTATTATTTGAGCCACCATCTCTTGGTGTTAGCTTGACAAGTGGTCCCTCTACCAACCAAGGCACCCCTTGAAAGGATAGTCTAAGTTAACTCTAGAAAACATGGGCCATGGTTGGAAAGTTCTCAACACTGGTGTTTGTTGAGCCTATAGAAATAATAATGAAGGATCTAACACCTTTTAGAAGGATATTAGGTAGATGGTCATGACCCTGGGTATGGTGAAAACATCCCAGGTAGATAGTAGAAACTGCCAACAATGCTGTCATTCCAGGGTGTTCCCCATTTCCCCAAACATGCACGGGTGCCTTAAGGTGGGGTCCAGTCAAGCCCCAAGGGTCACAGATTTTTTTAACAGGCCTCACTCCTAGTCCACATGTGTTGGTGGCTTCTGGATCTGACTGCAGTGACTCATAAACAGCAGATCAGCATGTACTCCATTTCAGCCAATCAAAACAACACGACCAAAATCATCTTATCATTCCCTTCTCTCACTGGCGTAGAAGCTTATTCCACCCCGTTATTCCCACTTTCCATTTCCCAGTTCTTAACAAAACAAGGAAGGAAGAAACGCAATAGGGAAATGATTTCCAACTGGTTTTCATCAGAATTGCTTCTAGAACTATGTAAAATACAGGTTCTAGGGTCCCAGACCAGGCCTGCATCAATATCAAAAGGTGAAACATTCTGATAAGGTCTCATAGGTGTTTCTGATGTCAGCCTCTGTTGAGACCCACTGCACGAGTCAACCAACATAGTTGTTCTATAAACAGACAAAAACAGATTCTCATCAGCTTCTCTGTAACACACCCTGTAGAGATTCAATCCCACAAGGTCATCTCACCCAAAGGAGAGACTACCCAAGACCCCATCAACCAACTCCCACTCTTTTCCCTTCTCCCTCCTCCCCAGGACAGTCCCACAGCAGGTACTGTTATCAATATAGGGGTCTAAATCTCTGCCCTTTGGAACTAGATTCTAGTAGGTAATCACCAAACTTAGTCCCTTGCCTCAGTTCCTCCCAACTCTACTTGGTGAATTAACTAAACTAATACTTTCATCCTTGCTAATGTCATCCAAGACCAGATATCTGACATTTTGTGAAGGTGATTTCCTAGAAACACAATGCTCTATGTCAAAGGACTCTTGAAGAGCAGAAATATCAACCTGCTAATCAGATGGTAGGTGTCATCAATCAGCAGCTGGTCACACTTGTGTATCTGGAAGAGATATGTTTGACAAACCTAACTTCTGGCTACCCATGGAAGCTTCCGGTTTCCATTGACCAAGAGTCTTTTTCTCCCTGACATGATCAATGCGAATGGTAGCAGGCACCCCTAGCTTTAGATGTCTGGTTTCCTCTTCTTTAAACAGCTTCATTCTCATCTATGAAGTAACAAAATTCTCACGCCATTTCATAAATGAGTTGCAATTTGTCACAAAATTATCTTTGCATTCTTACCTTAGGATTGAAAGGACACTAAAATATAAAATGATGGAATGGCGATCTAAACGCCCAACACATTGGAATCGACAATGTACTTCTATTTTGCGACACATCCTTCCTAAGCTGGAACTTTACATGGGAAGTTTTGTTTCATTTGAAGAAGACAGTGAATTGGAAAGACTGCACCAATTTTATTGGGTTTGTATATGATTTAATGCATGAATGGCATTTGTTTCTAATCTATATTGTTAATTAGCAATGAGAGCAATCTTAAATATCTAAATATTAAATATCTAAATATTAACTCTTAAATATCTGAAAAGAGATGTTCAAAAGAAAACTATCCTGCAATTGGGAAACTGAAGAATTATCTCTAGTAATAAATTGGATTCTGAGTCATTGCTTCTGCACAAGAAGAGTTCTGGTGAGCTTCGGTATCTTCCATATGCAAATTACCCCCAGGTTTGAGTCCTGCAGCCTGTATTCAAATCCTATTTGACCACTTGCTAGTTTTAACCCAGATCAAGTCACCTAACTTAGCTATTCCTTCTACCCCATTGTATAACAGGGATAAAAAGAATTGTCTACTTTGTGGTTGTGGTAAGGATTAAGTGAGTTTATACTTACCATTGCACTCAGCATGTAGTGTTTAGTAAATGCTAAATACTGTTCTGTTCTATGCCAGGACTTATGTTAGGCATCGGAATTATTATAGTAAATTGTAATGATACATTCATGTATCTTCACAGAGTTCATGGGCTAGAGCGATAGATCAGAAAATAAGTTAATTATAAAATATCTTTTTAAGTAAGCTAGAAAAAGGACAGCGCACTACTCAACCACAGGGGGAAAATATTTGGGCAGATTTGAGGGTAAGAAAAATCCTCCTGTAGTCAACTTTGGAAGGCTGAAAAGGGGCTCACAATTGTCATCTGTATGTTATTAAGCAATGTTACTTATATGACCACATTCCTTCGGTACTATCACATAGTAATCACTTAATATAAATTTGATCATTGTTGAATAAATCCCTCAAAAATTCTCACTTATATCCCTCCTAGGAAGAACTAAAAATTCCCTTGGGGTCATTTGCTGTTTAAAGCATGCAAGTTTGTGACCTGTCTGATGTGCAGATTCTGGTGCCATTCAGATCTGGTTAGGCTCAACTCTTGTCTGTAGAGTGGGGATTATGACAGAACTTAAAACTGTGGATTACTTGTGTATGTGAAGCACTTAGTACTATATCTAGAATATAATCAATACTCCCAAAACATCACTATTTTATGACCACCACATCATTAAAGCTTCTTTGATCTTTTTGCATATGGTAATTCCAGATCCAAATTGCTTCCATGACTGATTAATGTTCTTTTGTGCTGTTTTGACCTTGATCCAGGTTGCAGGATTTCCCATCCAGATGCCATACACTGATGTCCAGTCAATTATTGATGCTGTGTATCAGACTGGAATTCACTCTTCTGAATTTCCCATGATGGAATTTGCTTTAGCTGTATACATTCACCCATATCCAAACAACATATTATCTGTATGGGTCTATTTGGTTTCCTTAGCCAGATATCAGTGAAATGGAAGGAGGGAAAAGAAAGACTCTGCTGTGGCTCCTCTAATCCAGAATTTTCCTGGCACCTGGGGATTTTGCTGCTTATCTTCAAGTTCACCGAGCATAATTTTGGATTCATATATAGAGTTGGGAATTATGAACACATTCGCCCTTCCAGGCTTTGACGATGAGTCTAGATGGTCTCCTTACCAAGACACTTCTTTCAGGGGGACCCTTCAAGCAGGCTAGCTGCTTTGTGGACCATTGTCTGCAGTAGATCTTACTCTGGGAAAGAAGCAGTTCTGGCCTGCCCCCTAAGGTCAATGCTTCTCAGATTGTGGAAGCCGCACCACCTCCATCTGAACCATCTGAAGAGTCTTATTAAGAGTGAAGAGTCCCAGATGCAACCCAAGACCTATTGACTCAGAACCTTTGAGAGTGAGCTCCAGAACCTGCATTATTTTCAAACAAGCTCCCCAGGCATTTGTTGACTGAGAGCCCAGCCTTGCAGAATGTTGAAAATACTAATGAGGGTGATACATTCCGTGCTGGTCATGATACAATTTCAGGTAAAAAGTTACTCAAATGGAAACCTAAGGTCATGTTTTAGTCTGAAAGCTGATAGGCTGAATGTGTAAGAAAAGCCTGTTTCAGTTTGAGTCAAAAGGTCAGAAAAGACCTATGTCCCAGCTTAAAGAAATTAGGTGAGAGGAAATCCCTCTTAATCAATTGAGGAAGGATAGTCCTTCAATTCTACTCAAGTCTTCAGCTGATTCTATGAGGACCACCTACATTAAGAAGGGCCATCTGCTTTACTCGGTCTACCAAGCCACATAAGCTTTCATCCAACACCATCTTCACAGATCTATCCAGAATGTTTGACCAGTTATCGGAGTACTATGTTGGCGCAGTCAAGTAGACACACAAAAATAACGTTCTAAGTCCATTTTAACCAGAAGTAAAACTTTATGTAGCATTTAAATTTTGGAATACTTTCTGGTAAATTACAGATTAGAAATATCTGCATATTCTGGTTCTTATTTTTGAAAACAGCATAAAACTGTCCTTACCATTCTGCATCATAGTGGTTTGGCAATATAATCTAGGAACAAGTCTTCCATAGCAAGCTCATTATACCTGTGGCTTACCTTTTTACAACATTTCCAACTGCTAGGTGTCAAATATTAGAGGAGGGCAGGTGTAACAGCAATAAGACCAGTAAATAAGCTTATGCAAGCCTAACTGGGGGATGGTGATGCTGTAGGCAAGGAAGTTGATGGGGGGCATGAATGGTAGTTGCAGTGAGTTAAATAGCACAACAGGCATGAATGTGAACAAACAATACAAATCAAGAACCAGGCCCTGAGGCTTCTGGGTTCTAGTGTTTTGCATCCCAAAGAATTTGATGTAGCCATTGACAAGAATCCTGTAAGTTCACTTACAGAAGGTTCACCAGAATCTACTGTATGACAAAAACAAGGTGCACAGTTTAGTAGCAACATGCTACCCATATGCAAGCAAAATGAGGCTGGAGGTTACATTCGTTTGTTGTGAAGACCTAGATATTTCTAGAAAAGTACCATGGAAGACATGGTAGTAGTGGTACCTCTAGGAAGAACTGGGATTAGGGGAAAATGGAGATTTGCTAGTTGGTGTACACAGTTTTCTATTGGTTGAATGTTTTGTCTTTTGCATGCATTTATTTAAAAGTTTTTAAAAGTTAAAAGCAATGACTTTCTTTTTAAACATTTAAATACATTTTATTTATTTGCTGTACAATATAATGTTTTGTTTATTTTTGCGGTATTGCAGATTGAACCGGGGGCAAGTATGCTAAGCAAGTGCTGTACTATAACCCCTAGCTCTCAATATACATTATGTCGTGATAAATACATGCATAAAACCTGGAATGTTCCATGAATTACTGTCATCCTTGTGCAGCATTCTGCTAATTTCCTCTGTATTATTCTGACTTTAGTATATACACTGCCTAAAGTTCACTGAGTTACAAAAAAACTTTCCAGAGAATCTGGCCCCACCCTCATCTTGCCAGCTTGAACTTTAGGCTGCAGTCAGACTCCAGTTTCCACTCTCTGCTCTGTGTGTGGGTGTCTTGACTTCTCTCCCTTTTTACTTCTGCCGATCACGTCCTAGGTTTGGAATGTCTTCATCCCAGACATAAACTGTCCTCCATTTTTATTCCAGATGTGTTTTCTCTTGAGACCCTGTGCATTTTTACCATTCCCTCTGTCCAGAACACCCAACCACTAGATAGACACCTACTCCCTTCCTTCCTTCCCTCAGGCCTTTGCTTGCCTCACTTTAGCATAAAGCAGTGTCCACTGACAGCTACCTTTCCACCTGGCCTCTTGCCCTGCTCTCCTCACAGAGAGCATGGCATGGATTTTTCACTTACGTTTCTCTCTTCACAGTGGAATGTAAACTATGAGAGCACAGACTTTATTTTATTTAGCTATTAAGTTAAATGCTTTGTGTCTAGCTTACTCTGAAGGAATAAAGAAATAATAAGCCTGAAATGTGCCTTTTAGGAATGTACAATCTACGACACACTGGACACACACACATACACAGATATTAACAAGAATCAACATTGACATCTTATAATGAGCCACACCCAGAAAATAACACATGATTTCTGAACACATATCTCTCAGTGAACATCAACTTCAAAGTAGAAACCATAAAACAAACATACTTATTACATGATTACACAGGTGATTATAGTCTGTGACCCACTCTTCTGAAAAGGTTCTTAAGACATGGACTTTAAAATCATTTGGAAGCCAAATTATTTTGCCAGAAAGCTGCTTAGCAGTCCCACAATGAAACTGAGGGGGTGGGTTCTATATAAGGATCATTATAATTGACATGATTTCAGCTCATGTGTCCTTCTCTGCCAGGGTGGGAGCTTTCTGAACTGCACCAGGCCATCTTTCATTTGTGAGTTGCCCTTTTCTTGTCAACAGTTCCTGAATCCCTGGTTTCTTGGGCATAAGCATTGTCACATACACTGCAGTTCTTCCAGTGTATGTAAATGCCAGTGGTAAGCCCTCCTCACACCATGTGCACTCATTTTGTAGTAGCCCTACAAAAAATTCAAAGAAAGAGGGGTGTGGTCTCATGATTTATGTTTAAATATTAAAAGAGGTTGACCTGTAGACTCCGAAAAAGTGAGAGATCCTTGTCTCAGCTGACCATCTACTTTTGTGATGGTGCACCAAACACTTTCAAATATAATTGATTAGGTTTCTGTTAATCACATTTCAGCTCCAACAGCAGCTAAATTGATGCTGCAGTGTTTCCACAGTATTGTGGTTTCTTGATTTAACCACCGCAGATGGTCAATTACATTCACTATGGATCTGACGAGCTAGGTTACTAAAGATGTTAATTCCTTTCATTCAGAGCTCTTGGGAATCGCTAAAGCAAAAGCAAAGAGAAGAGATTAATTAGGTTTCTAGAACAATACTGGGTTTTGAAGTGGAACTTGAGCAGAATTTCACAAAGGGCTTTGGGGGCTGTGGACACAGCTAAAGGCCATTTGGAAGGCTGGAGGATCCCGGGGAGCAGCTTTTAGGAAGTAAAGACTGTTGCAAAGTGGGATGAGGCAGACCCATTCCAGACTCCGAAGTTTTAATCGCCTGGATGAGGCGTCGAAACTTCCCTTGGCGACTACCCAGGGTCATCGAAGGCTCTGGGCAGGTGAGCGGCCGGTCCAGACTGGCTAGTGATCAGTGTCACACTGTCCAGGCGCATACCCAGGCTGGTGATGGCGAGGCTCCCCTGCTGCAGGTACTGACACGGAGCTGGCTGTCCGGCGGGGCGGGGGCAGTTGAGCCCCGAGCAGCTGTGGGCGCCGCACCTGGGCTCGGCCGGCCGCCGATTGGACGGCGCGGGGCGACCCCGCTGTATCGCGAGACGAGATTGGCAGCGCGGGGCCGCCTGTGCCCCCGCGCTGGCTTTGTACGCGAAGCCGCCTGCCGGTCCTTTAACAATGGGCGGCGCGAGTGCCCGGGCGCTGGGCCCGAGCTGAGGCTGGGGCTTCGCGGCCGACCGTCCGCGGCATGAGCGGTGCCGGCGTCCCGAGCACGCCGGCCGGGCTGGGGCTGTGAGGGCCGCGGTTCGGGGTAAGAGCCCGCGTGGGCCGGGCAGGCCTGGCCCGGAGGGCAGCCGGGCGGAGCACGGCCGGCCGGCCTTTTGTTTGCCTCCCTGGGGCCGCGCGGCCCGGCGCTGACTCGGACCCCGGACCCCGAGAACGAGCACGCCCCGCCGGCCGCCGCGACGACCCGACCGAAGCCTCGCGCCTGGCGCCCCCACCCCCGGCGGCGCCAGGACTGTGTTAGGGCGCTTGCTCCTCAGCGCCGGCGGCGGGGTTCGAACCTGGGACTCGGGGAGCCCTAGCCGGGCCTCCGGGTTCCCTTCCCTAGTGTGCACTCGGGTCCGCGCATTGGCAGCTCGCGGCTCTACTTGATCCCTTCCTGCGGGTCATCTAACTGGCCTTGGCCAGCTCCTGACCAGGGGTTAGAACGGGCCTGGCAGGTGTCAGGGATGGCGTGGGGACGGGTCAGGTGAAGACTATCAGTCACTCTGGGTGACCCGAGGTCACCCTCAGAAGGGGTCGCGAAGGGTCGGGGAAGTTGCTGGCCGTGACCGCGTCTGGGGCGTGTCTTGCAGACTGAAGTTGCGGCGTCTGGCCGGGTGCGCCGCCGGGTTCCATGGAGCTGGAGGGGCAGTGGTGGCGAGGACAGCTGGCTGCGGATATTCACCAGGCGCTTCGGTACAAGGTAACCCCGACGCCCGGGTTCCTGTCCCGGCTTTGGTGCCAGTTCCGCATCTCGGCTCCTTGGAAAGGCCGGTCAGGGTTTTTACTAAACGCTGCCTTCCAGGCCAGACTAGGCGACTTTGCTTACTTGTCAAGGTTAATTAACTTCTTCCTTCCCTGGGCTGCATCAGGAGAACCTGCAGCCTAAATGAGAGGAGTGGGGCGTGGTACTTGGGAGAAGGAAGGTAGAACGTTTGGATGTTGCCAGGAGGACAAAGAATTTGATCTTGTGATA